TTATGTTTGTGTAGATCCAATGAAAATATCCTTTAGTAGTAGAGTGAAATAAACACACTCTAAGAAAACTAAGATGATTTACCACCAGCAAAACTGCTCTAAAAGAAATAGCTTAAGTCTGAAGTCAGAGAGAAACCTAGAACTTTAAAACTGAAGAAAGGTTAAAAAAAATTAAGTATCTGGGAAAATACAAAAGAATATGTTTTTCCTCTTATATTTAAAGTGGGCTTTTAAAAATAAATAATATATAGTCTGGTCATGTATTTTTCTTTTTTAAGAATTACTTAATTTTGGGCCCATAGGTGGCATGGTGATTAAAGGCACTGGACTCCCACATGGCTGACCACACCTCGAGTCCCAGACTTGATGGCTTGCTTCCTCACTTCTTTTCTCTCTCTTTTTCTCAATCTGTCTTTTTCTGGTCAAATTGAAAAATAATGATAATAAATAATTCTTAAAAAAAATGAATTACCTAATTTTGGGACCAGCAAATTGCATGATGGTTATGTTTTTGGACTCCTACATGGCCGACTGTGGTTTCAGTCCTAGGCTTGGAAGCCCGAAAATCATATCAGGCACATGTGTGTTCATGTCCAAAATTCCAAGAGGAGAATGGAGGAGAAGGGATTGTGGTGTGGCCATCCCCCTGAGATGTGATTCTCTGCTTTCTGTCTCTGTTGAGTGCACATGCCCTGTAGCAAAAATCTCTCTCTAAAAAAAGTATTATTATTATTTAATTTTATTTATTATTACTATCACTTTTTAATTTGCTATAGGGCACATGCACTCACCAGAAAGGCAGAGAGAGGGATGGGGGGAAAGGTGAGAAAGCAAGCTGCCAGATCTGGGACTTGAACCAGAGTCAACCAAGTGGGAAACCAGAGCCTTAACCCCTACTCCACCTTCTGACCCCTATCTTGTATTTTTTTCATTCAATCCACTACTCTATCGCCTGTACAAAAACATATGTAACTATGGTAGCAAAAATTACGACAATGTGGTAGAGATTTCAAAGTAAAACATAAAAGAGAAGTTAGTAAACTGAAATTTTAAGGTGTGTGTATGTGTGTGGGGGGGGTGGTGGTGTGTGTGTAAGAGGCGGAGTTTAAGACAAGGTCGCACTGTGTCATGATCCTCTGCCTCAGCCTCCCAAATAACTAGGGCCCGAGGTGCACACCAGCTTTTTCAGACAGGCTCACACTGCATGATCCTCTGCCTCAGCCTCCCAAATAACTGGGGCCCGAGGTACACACCACCACACCCAGCTTTTTCAGACAGGCTCATACTAAGTTGCCCTTGCTGGTGGTGAGCTCATGATCCTCCTCCCTATCCTTCCAAGTAACTGGGACTACATGTGCACACTGCTACTCCTGCTTCTTAGGGTGAGCCAAGAGGTCTCCCGTGTGACCTTAGCCTGCTAACCCGAAGTGTCCAGCAAATTTAACATGGCTGTGCTAGTTTCTGCATTTTATGTGAAGTGAGAAATAAACCTAAGAAGGTTGTGAGGGCCATGGTGATGAAGGTAGCTGGGCCCCACATGGCTGACCTTGAAGTTTGAGTCCTAGAATCAACGGCTTGAGAAACATGCTGATGGCATGTGTGTGCATGGCCAAAGTCCTGAAAGGAGGGAGAAACAGAGGAGAAGGAATTGGGTGGCCATTCCCCATGGGGTGGGTTCATTCTCTTTCTCTCTCCACCAGGGCAAGTCGCCATACCCCCTGGCAAATTAAAAAAAAAAAAAAAAAGACTGTAAAATATTAGGTTTGTATATTGAAATCCCCAGAGTAACCACAAACAAATAAATAAATAAAAATAAAGAGATGAAACCAAATACTCAACAGAAAAGTTAAAATAAACTAAAAAGAAGGACCAGCACTTAGTGTAATGGCTATGTTGCTAGACCATTTAGTTGACCATGGTTCACGTCCCGGACCCGGTGGCTTAAACCCAGGCTGGGCACATGTGCGTGCATGCCCAAGATCCCGAGAGGAGGATGGAGGAGAAGGGATTACGGCGTGGCCATCCCTCCTGGGGGGTGATTTCTAGCTTTCTATCTCCCAGTCTCTCTCTGACTTTCTGATGAGTGCATGTGCCCTATAGCAAAAACCTCTCAACAAAATAAATAAATAAACAAACTAAAAAATTCAAATAATTCAAAAGAAGGCCAAAAGATCAGGGAAAGAAAAAAAAAAAGAGGATAGATGCTAAATAATAAAATAGTAGATGTGACTCCAACCAAATCGATAGTTACATAAAGTTTAACTAATATAAACACGGGGCCAGCAGGTAGTGTGGTGTTAAGGCGCTAGACTCAGACATGGCCAAACTTAGTTTGAGTCTTGGACCTGGCATTTTGAAAAACATATCCAGTGTGTGTGTGTGCATGTGTGTGTGTGTGTGTGTGTGTGTGTGTGTGCCCAAATCCCAGGAGGAGAATGGAGAAGAAGAGATTCTGGCATGGCCATGCTCCCTGGGGGGTGGACGTGGGGGTTCTCTCTTTCTCTCTCTCTCTCTTTCTCTCTGTCTCTCTCTGGTGGTTGCATATGCCCAATAGCAAAAAAACCTAAAATGAAAAAATAGAAAACTAAAAAAAAAAAAAAAAAAAAGTAAACATACCAAATAAAATACAGAGTTTATCACACTGGATTAAAATTTAAAAACCAAACCCAACTATTTGCTATCTACTAGGAACTTACTATATAGTATATAATATGAAGGACATAATATCAAATAGAATAAAAATAAAAAGATAGAGACACACCATGGAACCAGTAATGTAAAGAAAATTGGAGTGGCTCTATCAGTATAGTTCTGATTCTGAATTTAGAATCAGACGAAATAGACTAGAAAGTAAGACATACTCTGAGCAATAACAATTACAGAGCGATAAAATCATCAGTTCCCAAAGAGACAACAATCCTAAATACATATGCACCTAACAACAGACCCTCAAAATATATGAAGAAAAACTGATAAAACTAAAAGGAAACATTGATAAATGTATAGTTACACTTGGAGACTTCAAAGCTTTTCTTCTCAATGAGTTGAACACACAGAACCAAAAATGAGCAAAGACATAAAAAACTTGAACATTATTATCCCCCTTGACCTAACTGACATTTATAGAAAACTCTTCTAATTTTTTTTGTTTGTTTGTTTATTGGTGCACTCTTCTGAAATTTTAAATAATTCTTTCAATGTACATGGAACATTCACTTAGGTAAGACTACACTCTGGGCAATGAAACAAACCTTAACAGATTTTAAGGAAATTAAACTATACAAAATATGTTCTGGAATATGTACTGGAAAATTCCAAATAATTAGCTATTAAACACAAATTTCTAAATCATACATGAGTAAAAATGAAGTTACAAGGGAAGTTAGAAAATATTTCAGAGGCCAGCAGGTGATGTGGTGGTTAAGGCAGCTGGATTCCCACATGGCCAATTGCAGTTCAAGTCCTGGACTCAGTGGCTTGAAAAATCATACCTGGGCGAGTGTGTATGCCCCAAATCTTGTGAGGAGCAAGGAGAAGAATGGATTACAGCATAGCCATTCCTCACTTGCCCTCTTTCTGTCTGTCTCTCTTTTCTAGTGAGCATAGGCACCCTATAGCAAAAACCAAAAAAAAAAAAAAAAGTTTGGTAAATTGTAAATGAAAACATTTACATTTACAATGTACCAAAAATCTGTGAGATACAGCTATTGCAGTACTTAGAGGGAAATTGATGGCATTAAAGTGCTTATCTTTTCTAAAAAAGAAATCTCTCAAATCAGGGATCTAATCTATCACCTTAAGAAATATGAAAATGAGCAAATTAAACCCACGAAAAAGCAGAAAGAAAAAAATGACAACATAAATCAAAGGTATTCACAACAAAAATGACAGAGAAAACAAAACTAAAAGCTGGGCCAGCAGGCATGGCATGGTGACTAGGGCACTGGACTACAACATGGCTGACTACAGTTCAAGTCCCGGACCTAGTGGTTTGCTTTCTCACTTTCCCTCTCACTCTCTCCCTTTGTCCCCTCTCTCTCTGGTTAGTGCACATGGACTATAGCAACATTAAAAAAAATAATAATGATGATGATCGATAAAGTTAAATAAGTAATTCTTAAAAACGACAAACCAAAAGTTATTTTTTAAAATAGACTTTTGCCTCAGGATGCATGCACTCACTGGAGAGACAGAAAGACAAAGACAGTGAGAGAGAAAGTGAGAAATCACTCCCCAGGGGGGATGGCCATGCTGCAATCTCTCCTCCATTCTCCTCCTGGGATCTTGGGCATGCACACACGGGCACCCAGTGTGAATTTCAAGCCACCAGGCTCAGGACTTGAACTGCTGTCAGCCATGTGGGAGTCCAGTGACATAACTGCTACACCATCTGCTGGCCCCCAAAAACTAATTGTTTGAAAAGATTAATAAAATTGATAAGTTTCTAATCAATCTGCACAAGTTGAAGAGAGAGAAAAAATAAATTATTAATATTAGGAATGACAGGAAAATTATTATGATCCTATAGATATTAAAATAAAAATAAATACTACAAATAAATATTTCCCATAAATTAGCTTAAATGGAACAATTCCTTGAAAAACCCAAGTACACAAAATTCCTTCAAGAGGAAACACATAACCAAAAGAAAAAGTTTAGTATGAAAGGGAGGCGGAGCAGATAGGTAAAGGAAAAAACAAGTAAAAGTATGCTTAATTGACAAAAAATGAGAAGTTATTTGCTGATGATAACGTATATAGTAAGATCTTGGTCGTGACTGACATGCATGGTATTTGTGCTGGAAAAAGCAATGTTGTATACTGTAAAGACATGATTAAATATAAATAAAAATGAAACAAAACAAATAAACAAAAAAAGACCCGGTGGCTTGAAAATCACAACAAATAGATAAATCAATAAATTAATTTTTTAAAAAGTAAAAAAAAAAAAAAAGAGAGCGAGAAGAAACACATAACTAAAAAGAGATATACTTATGTTACCTTATTATATGTTTGATTTGTAGTAAGATACTATTTTCCAGGGTAATATTCAAAGCACTTGTTAGGTACTGATTGAACTCCTCAAAGAACATTTCATTCCCTTCTTCGTATTTCCCATAGTTCTTTGAGTACTCCTTTTGAATGCAGTGATTGGTTAAATGGCAGGTTTTGTCTTGAAAATTATCAACGTGATACGGTTCTGAAGCAGTCCGAAGCACACCCTCTCTATAGAGGTAGATATTATACTGATGATCAACGAGGACCCAGCTTCTGCAATTCAATAAAGACACTGTTTCACTCTATTGCCCAAAGATTCTCTCTCTCTCTCTCTCTCTCTATATATATATATATATACATATATATACACACACACACACAAAGTTTCTCTCTCTCTCTCTCTCTATATATATATATATATATACATATATATACACACACACACACATCTATATAGATAGATATATAGATATAGATATCTATATATAGAGAAAGCAATACATACACACACACACACACACACAAATATATCTCAATCCCAACTCCTCATAGGGTATGAAAATAGGAAAAAAGTAAGTTCTAAAATCACATGAGGTAAACCATGAGTTAGCCAAGATAGTCGGTTATCATTAAATGAGGAAAACATTTTACCAGAAGTGACAGAGACTTTCATCCAAAAGATAGAGCATTTTGAAAAGAACTGGAGGAGCTGTTTTTGTTTTTGTTTTAACGAATGAGGCAATTTATTAAACCAGCATCATTTGCCCTAATGCTTCTTGTTGGCAGCTGCCATCTGTCCAGCAATTCTGTCCAGATCTCTCTGTTCCTGAGGTGTCAGTTTGTAGCCTCCATCTTGGGCCTTTTCCACCATTTTTAGCCCCTCCAGGGCTTGAAGGACCCAGCGGGCCACGTTCTTGAAGACTTGGCTGAAGTGGCTGGGCATGACACCATTATTCTGTCGTCCCCCATAGATCTCCATCATGGAGCCAACCCCAGCGCCACCCAGGAGGTACAGGTGCCGCGCTGTGGAAGCAGCTCGTGTGTAGAACCAGCTGTCATGGTAGGGAGCAAGTTCTTTATGCTTGGTCAGCTTGACAGTGTCCACCCATTCAGGGACTTTCAGCTTTCCAGACTTCATGAGGGAGGCTTCCAGAGCTCTGACGACCTCCTACTTACTCAGGTCTTTTACCAGAACTCTAGGCATCATGTGGCCTCCCTGCTGTCAGCCAGGGAAAAGCTGGAGGAGCTGATTTTTAAGGTTAACCCATGGAACCTCCATAAAAGAGCATGTGCTCTTTTAGCAACCTTAAGAAGATCACCTTACACCAATCTGACACAGGACTAATGTTCGAGAAGCACAAGTCATGATGGCACCAACGAGACAGAGTCCTTGATGTGAGAACGGCAAGGCCAGGGGCCTCTGCCAACGGCAGAGAGGGCTGTCTAGCATAAAATGCACCACTCAGCCTTCCTCCATGCCAGGTCCTTTGCTCAGAAACTTAATCCACAGATGTGAGGTGTGTTCATGGAATCCACAAAAAGTGAGACACAAATAATGAAGTGAAGACAAGTTGTGATTTGAATGATGTGTTCTATGTACCTCATTCAGCTTTTTCCATAAGCAAGCCCCTTACTTTTATGCTCTGCTCTTTGAACTCACAAGTCATTTTCATAAAAGAGATATTAAAACAAAAAAATCCATAGCCTTAGAAGTACTTTCCAGAATGGTAAAAAAAAAAATTAAAAGAAAAATAAGAGGGCCAACTGGGGCCTGGTGGTTAAGGGACATAGTAGATCCTCATGGCCAACTCACAGTTTGAGTCCCAGATCTGGCAGTCTAGAAAACACATTGGGTGTGTGCCCCAAACCCCAACAGGATGGAGAAATGGAAGAGAAGGGGTTGCAGTGTGATTATGCCCTCCAACCCCGGGGTGTGCTTTCTCCGGCTCCCTTTCTTTCTGTCTGGCAAGAGCATGCACCCTCGGCTAAATTTAAGAAAGAGAGAGAGAGAGAGAGGGAGGGAGGGAGGAAGGAACAAACAAAGAAGGGAAGGAGGGTGGGAAAGGGGGAGGGAAAGGGAGAGAATGAAAAGGAAAGGAAAGTAAAAAAAAGGAAAGAAAAGAAAAACAGGAAAGGAAAAAAAAGGAAAGAAAAAAAAAGGAAAGGAAAAGAAAGGGGAAAAAGGAAAGGAAAGGAAAAGAAAGGAAGAAATTAGGTATAGAAGCTCAGACCCAAGCAGCTGCACTCATTTTTGGGGAAATGAGTCAAACACTCCATAGTCTATGTCCCCTCCTTACTTTACACCATCACACTTTTTTCAAAAGAATGAAAACCACAGCTGTGGACACGATACATTACCGGATGTCAAACTTGCGATGACCTGGTTCTAGAAGCAAGGGGTGCTCAAGATATTTCTGGATCACGTGCACTTGGCCTTGGTTGTCTATGAAGTCAAGCAGCTCTGTGGCCTCTGAGGAGATGAGGATGCCTTCACCTAACAGAGCAAAAGCAAAACAGACACCAGTCTAGTTCATGCCAAGAGGGAAAGCTGTCTCAAAGCCAGAAAGGACATGCTGACAGAAACATACAGACAAAAAGCCCTTGCGATGCTTTCAATGGCCTGCTCACTCTCTTCTTTCCCAATCCCTTCCCTCCTGCAATCTCTTATGAGGAGGAATCTCTCTTTCTTCCTCGTAAGAACACCCAGGTTTTCCAACGAACTTCCTTCATAGACAGTTGTCAACACTATCTGGGCAGTCTCCAATCATGGAATTTCTATTTTCCAGGTATTCGAATTGTCTAAGCACTCTAAATAAATGCTTCTGACCTATATGTTGCTCACTGGCTACTGCAGTGTACACTGTATATTGTCTGTGACCAGCAAATCCATTTCTAACACTGTATCGTCTAGAAATAGTGGGAAGGGTGGGAAATAAAAGACAAATGTACCTTCCCTGCAGCACTGCAGTAGGAAAAAACTGGATACATTCAAATTGCCCATCAACAATAAATAAATGATATTAAATGTTTTTAAAGGCTTGAGAAGTAACTTACCTACTATAAAACTATGTCCCACCCCCCCCTTTTTTTTAAAGGTTTTTAACATTGAGCAAATATACTCACCATAGACAGAGAGACAGTAAGAGGAAAACTGAGAAATCACCTCCTGGAAGTTCGGCCACACCGCAATCCCTTCTCCTCCATTCTCCTCCTGGGATTTTGGGCACTCACATGCACATGCCCCCGGTGTGATATTCAAGCCACTGAGTCCGGGACTCAAACCATGGTCACCCACATGGGAGAACAGTGCTTTAACTACTATCCCACGTGCTGGCCCTACTATTCTCTTTTATTTTTATTTTTTTTTTTACAAAGAGTTATTTAATTTTATTTGTCATTATTATGGTTTTTAAATTTGCTGTAATGCTTATGTTCTCACCAGAGAGAGAGAGAGAGAGAGAGAGAGAGAGAGAAAGTGAGAAAGTGAGCCTCCAGGTCTGAGACTCAAATCACATTCAGCCTTGTGGGAGTCAAGTGCTTCAACCACCACGCCTCCTGCTGGCCCCTACCCCATTATTCTTTTAAAGTGTACAATTCAATGTTTTTTAGCACATTTAAGAGCTTTACAACTATCACTACCATCTAATTTTAGAACATTTTCATCGTCTTACCAAAACGACCTTGTGCTTATTAGCAGTTACTCCATCCCCTCCCTGGCAAGCTTTCTTCCAGAGAGGCTGTACCATTTTACAACCCCCTAGCAATGTGAGTGACCCAGTTTCTCCAGGCCCTTGCCACCGTTTCTCATCCTTGCCGTTTTTATAGTGAGAGCTGATGGTGGTTTTAATTTGCTGTTTCCCTAATAGTTAATAGACAGAAAGAAACCCTTTCATGTAGCTGTATAGCTTCTTGGTTGAAATGTATTTTCATGTGTTTTGCCCGATTTCTAACTGGATTGTGTGTCTGTTGTTGCTGTTTACTGTTAAGTTTTGAAAGTTGTTTATATAGTCTAGATCTGAGTCTTCTGTCACACACATGGTTAAAACTCCTTTTTCCTAGTCCATAACTTGACATTTCAATTTCTTTGTTTTCTTTTTTTTTAGTGAGAGATTTTTGCTATAGGGTGTGTGTGTGCTTGTCAGAAAGACAAAGAGACAGAGAGACAAAAAGTGAGGGAACCAGCAGTTAGCGTAATGGCTATGTCGCTGGACTCCCACGTAGTCAACCGCGGTTCACGTCCCGGACCCGGTGGCTTAAAACTCATGCCGGGCGCATGTGCGTGCGTGCCCAAGATCCCGAGAGGAGAATGGAGGAGAAGGGATTGCGGCGTGACCATCCCCCCTGGGGGGTGATTTCTTGCTTTCTGTCTCTATGTCTCTCTCTGTCTGTCTGGCGAGCGCACGTGTCCTACAGTGAAAATTGTCCTACAGTGAAAAACCCCCCAAAAAAAAAAAAAGAAAAAAAAAAAAAAGTGAGAAATCATTCCCCCAGGTGGGATGGCCATGCCACAGTGCTTTCTCCTCCATTTTTCCTCCTGGGATTTTGGGTATGCATGCACATGTGCCTGGTGTGAGTTTTAAGCTGCTGGGTCTGGGACTCAACTACATGGGAGTCCAGTGATGTAATCATTATGCCATCTGCTTGTCATTCCAATTCCATTAAGTCATTTCAGTTTTTTAACAGAGTGCTTTACAGAGCAAAATTTTTATTGCGATGAAGTTCAATCTATCAATTTTTACTTTTATCAACTCTACCTTTGGTGTCAAGAACCATTTACCAAGACCTATCTCCTATTTTTTTACTGAAAACAATTTATAGTTTTAAGTCCATGATCCATTTTGAGCTGGTTTGTATAAAGTGTGAGGTTTAGGCTGATATATATTTTTTTGCTATGGATATCCAGCACCACCTGTTGAAAACCTTATCCTTCCTCTGTGGAATAGCTTTGCACCTTTGTCAAAAATCAAGTGGACATATATGTTTAGTCTGTTCCTGATTACTCTGTTCCATTGATGTTTCTATCCTTCCATCAATAATATTACCCCAGGTTGAATACTATAGTTATGCAAAATGCCTTAACAGTAGGTAGAGATGGCATCCACTTTATTCCTTTTTTTTCATTGCTATTAAAGCTTTGCTAGGGCCTATATCTTCCTTTTTTAATATTTTTTAATTTAAATCATTTTATTTATTTATTTATGTATTTGTTTCTTTATTTTAGTTTGACCAGAGAGGGACAGAGAGAGGCAAAGTGAGAAAGTAAGCCCCCAGGTCCAGGACTTGAACCATGGTCAGCCATGTGGGAGTTCAGCACCCTTAAGCACCACGCCCACCTGCTGGTCCCTAGGGCCTGTATCTTTCAATATAGATTTTGTTTTAATGTTTTTGCCATAGGGCATATGTACTATCCAGATGGTGAGAGGCAGTGAAAGAAGTGAGAAATCACTCCCAATGGGGATAGCCACGCCACATTCCCTTCTCCATTCTCCTCCTGGGATTTCTGGCATATGTGCACATGTGCCTGGCATGATTTTCAAGTTGCAGGGTCAGGGACTCGAACTGCAGTCTGTCATGTGAAAGTCCAGCGTCTTAACCACCATGTCACCTGCTGGCCCCTCAATATGAATTTTAGAAGTTTTATGACTACACAAAAACCTCACTGAGCTCTTCATAGGAAGGACAGTAAACCTACAGACCACTTCGGGATGAACTGAAATTCTTACTATGCTGAATTCTGTAATCCATGAACACAGTTTATCTGTCCATTTCTTTGACTTCTTTCAAAATCATTTCATAATTTTCAGATTACAGAGTATACAAATGTTTTCTTAAGTTTATACTAGACATTTCATTTTCTCTGGGGTGATTATAAGTGGTATTGTATTTTAAATTTTGGTTTCCACATGTTCATTGTTGTAAATAGAAGTGATACTGGATTTTGAGTATGGATCTCATATCCTATAACATTGATAAATTCACTTTTTAGTTCTAGGACCCTCCCTCCTGTACTTAGACTTGCAGCTTATCTCACCTAGGTCTCCTGCTTTCAATGCACATGAATCTGGTTCATTAATACAATGACCCACTTTCCCTAAACATAGGCCCCTTCTTTATCTACTCAGTTTCTGTTACGTGTTTCTACCATTTGGTTAGTTTATTTTTTTTTTAAGAATTATTTTATTTAACTTTATTTATTTTTAATTTGGCCAGAGAGGGACAGAGTGAGAAAGCAAGCTGACAGGTCTGGGACTCGAACCACGGTCGGCCATGTGGGTATCTAGCGTCCTTAACCACCAAGCCACCCGCTGGCCCCCATTTGGTTAGCTTCTTCAATAAGAAGTTGCAAATCAAACCTGAGAAAGCTCTCATCTCTTTTCCTATACACATCAGATTTTCTGGTTCTTCTTTACTTCCATTTGTCAATTCTTTTTTTAAAGTTTATTTATTTCTTCATGAGAGAGAGAAAGAGAGATCATAAAAAAAAAGAGAGAGAGAGAGACAGAGAGAGAGACAGAAAAACAGGCACTAACAACAGGGTCTTCATGATGTGATCCACCCCTGGTCTAAGCCGGTTCGGATAACAGGTACCTGTGTGCATGCCCTGTGTGCTCAGGGAGGTCCTAGGACACGGACTCAGGATGTGCCGCCACCTTGTCAATTCTTGAGTCTGGGCTCTAATCTACTCCTCTGTAATGCTTTGCATGCTCTATTTCCAGGTGATCATCCTGAAACACTGCTTTCTTGCTCACTTTCTCCAACTGTCTCTACCGATGCCTTGCTCTATATAATCTGGTCCCAATCTCTCCCATATGCTCCAACCTATTTTCCTTATATTATTTTCTTATATATATGATTTCTTATTGAAAATTAAATTGCCTGATACTAGTAGGTTGGAAAAATAATGAGAAAAAAGTAAAGAGATACCAGGCTAGCAGATGGTGTAGCAGTTACATTGCTGGACTCCTGCATGGCCAACTATGGTTCAAGTCCCAGACCTGGTGGCTTGAAAATCATGCCAGGCATGTGTACATGTGTGCCCAAAATCCTGCGAAGAGAATGAAGGAGAAGGGATTGTAGCATGGCCATCCCCCCTAGGGAGTGATTTCACACTTTCCCTCTCATTGTCTCTCTCTCCAGCGAGTGTGGGCCTTAAGGCAAAAACCTCTTAAAAAAAAAAGTACTGACTGTCCGCACTCCATGGTAGAGACTGAAAGACTGGAGAACGTAAAAGTATAAAAAATTATAATGGACATTAGAGACAAAGTGGAAAGAGAGTGTAGGAGGAGAAGAGGGTAGGAAAGGAAATTTGGGGGGAAAATGGAGAGGTAAGACATTTGTGGGACACAGATAAGATTTATTATCTGTTGACGAGGATGTGTATGATAGTCTCAACTGGGCTGGACTGAGGTGCAAATCATGCCGGTAAAGTCTCTTCACAATCTAAATGATGTATAGTGATTTAATGTATGAATAATAATAAAAAATAAAAAAGTAAAGAGATATTAGTAGGTATACATTATAACTTTTAAAAGCTATTATTATTGTTTAAAAAGAATTATTTTATCTAACTTTATTTATTTATTTATTTATTTATTTATTTATTTATTTATTTATTTTCATTTATTTTTATGTGACCAGAGAGGGACAAAGTGAATGAGAGAGAGAGAGAGGGGAAAGTGAGAAAACAAGCTACCAGATCCAGGACTCAAACCATGGTTGGACATGTGGGAGTCCAGCACCCTTAACCACCATGCCACCTACTGGTCCCATTGTCATTTTAAAACCATGACATTAGGGGTTGATCCTGTGGCACAGCAGATAAGCACTCTGTGAAGGGAGCCAGATTCCACATATCCAACTGCAGTTCAAATCCTGGCCCCAGTGGCTTGGAAAACATGCCTGGTATGTATGTGCATATGCCCAGGATCCTGATGGGAAGAAGGAATGGAGGAAAGGGGACTGCAGCATGACCAGGCCCCACTGAAACTCATGCACTCTTTCTCTGGTGCATGCACATGCACCCTCCAGCAAAAGAAACAAAACCATGTCATTACAGGGAAATAAAAACATGGCCCACAGTCTTATTTCCTAACAGAATTTATTTATCTATTTATTTATTTATTTATTTATTTATTTATTTTTGCCATAGGGTGTGTGTGCTCACTGGAAAAGGAAAATAAGAAATTATCCCTTGTGGGAGATGGCCCCTCTCCTCCGTTCTCCTCTCAGGATTTTGGGCACACATCTGCATGTGCCCAGTATGATTCTCAAGCTGCCAGGTCCAGGACTCGAACTGTGGTCAGTCGTGTGTGAATTCAGTGCCTTAACCATCATGCCATCTGTGGGCCCCCTAACATAATTATTTTTATTTTATCATTTTATCTTTCTTTACTTATGGACAAAGAGTAATTCAGTCACTGTATTTTATCTCTTTTTCACTTTATGAACTTTAAAAAAAACTTTATTCATGATAGAGCACATGTATGTATGCACATATATAAGAAAGAGAAAGAGAGGAGCGCCCTCCCAAGAGCCTGGTCCCACACCACGAGTCCCTTCCTCCAGCCCTCCCTGCTCAGCTATCAGACCTGGGGCACTCATGCATGGCGCAAGTGCACGGTGCATTTCGTGCTGACCAGGCTAGGACTTTGAACCATAGTTGCCTTGTGGGATCCTGTTTCTCCTGAGCAGTGCATTACCACTGCACCATGGAGCTAGCCCTTTTTTCTACTTTATATCGTCAAAGTGTTTATGTTTGTACATTAGTTTCACATTATGTTAGTAGCTGGAAAAAATCCCATTCTGTCGATGTAAAAAAGTTACGCATTTGTTTACTGACTGCTGGGTTGTTTCTACATAGAATGTGATATTACAGCAAACATAGCAGTAAATGTCTTTGCTGTAGATTCTTTTTCTTTCTGTCATGAGAGTGTGCACACATGCACATGAGGGATCTAATTATGCCACAATCCCCTTTCTCAGTCCTCCAGATCTTCAGGATCTTGGACATCCACGTGCATTCTCGGCATCTTTTCAGGCCAACTAGCGATCTAAACTCACAGTTGGCCGTGTGGCTTCCAGCACTGTAGTCCGTGGACTCCACCACCAGGCTGGGCCTCATTTCTTTTTAAATATTTCCTTGGAGTAAGTTTTCAGGAATGAGATCGGGCCAAACTACATGAATTCTTTACAGCTGTTGCTTTGTATTATCTTATTGCCTTTTCAAAGGGCTATGAACTAATAGTGAGCAGTTTTTGTTTCCTTATTTTGTACATGTGAATAATACATAAAATTCACATTTATCTTGTGACTTTTGGATACTGGTGTAATATGTTTCCATGCGCTTGTTAACTGTATTTTTTATATCACTTACTCATATCTTCACCAACTAAACATGGAGAAATTATGAAGGAACTTTTGGGATTTTTTTTTTTTTTGAGAGGTTTTTGCTATAGGGCGCGTGCGCTCGCCAAAAAGATAGACAGAGAGAGACAGAGAGACAGAAAGCGAGAAATCACCCCCCAGGGGGGATGGCCACGCCGAAATCCCTTCTCCTCCATTCTCCTCTCGGGATCTTGGGCACGCACGCACACGCGCCCGGCATGAGTTTAAGCTGCCGGGTCCAGGACTCGAACCACGGTTGACTACGTGGGAGTCCAGCGTCATAGCCATTACGCTAACTGCTGGTCCCTGCAATTCTGAATAGGGGGATTGCACACTAAGTGGGAAGACTGAAAAAAGGGCAGGCCAGGTGGGCGAAGTTGGAAAGGGAACAGGAGGCCTACATCAGACAAGATGTAAGTCTGAAATGCCTTTTAGAGAAGGTGAGGATGCCAGTAGACCTAGATTTAGGGAAAG